TTTGAATTGTTTACTTGCACACTTTACTTACTTTGTACTTATGACGTTACTGACTGCTTACACTCATGAATTAAGTTAAATTTTATTAAGTTAACTACTTAATACGTGTAAATTGGGCGTACGCAGTTAGCTAGTAACAAGTTGCAAGTAAAAATTTTGTTCGCATGTTATCTGAATTTTATCTCTTTATGCTTCGATACGATATTTACTAACGGCCGGCTTTAATGTTCTGTCTATCGTTAGATGCGGTTACTGGTGATAGGTATTTCCTGGTAGACATTATCTCCATACTACTTACGTTATAATTCTGTTGAAACCAGTCGTAATTAGGCTATGACATAAACGACATTTAACGGTAGAAGGGCCACGCAGCAGCCTCGGTTGTTGCACGAATGGGCAGGCTCGCCCGGGTAAGTACCACGACCTCACAGAAGACTGGCGTCAAGTGGAAGTATAATACTTTCGCATTTTGTAGTGAGTGAGGTAGCCGGAACCCAATTTACAAAAGGTTGTCAGCGTCCATGGTGCAGATGTCCATGGGTGGCGGTATTCACTTAACATCAGGTGAACCGCCTGTTCGCTTGGCAACTTTTCACATAAATAAAAAAAAACGAGGACCTAGCAACGATTGTGTGACCAAGTCAAGATGTGGAGAGCTGTGGCTGATGAACATATTTAAGCAGGATTATGGACATATACATTATGGACATAATCTGCGGATTGGTCATGCCGAAAACCAAATACTTACTCCAACAGTATTTTAATCATTATGCCTGTTTAGGAACGTAAATAATTTAAATCTAAAACAAGTACTCATCGCGAAAATGGTATAATGCTACATTGCCTCGCGTGGCCCATTTGCATAGTATCGATTTGTGTAATTCGACACGGATGTTAAAATAACGTAACTGAAGACATTCACGGATTCAGACATTCCTCTTTGATTATTGATGATTTCAAATTACTAATAAACATGATAATAATTTACTCGAATACTTTACTATGGTTTATCGTTTATTGCACACTTTTAAAGTATTGGAATAAGTCTTGTAGCATGATATTACTAGATACACCTTGTTTGTGATATGTTTACAAGTATATATATATATATAAATAACTAGCGGCCCGCCCCGGCTTCGCACGGGTATTTAACAAAAATTTTAAAATTAAAAATTATCACACACATACACAAAACTTTCCGAATATTTCGTCTTTGGTGAATAATTTTATGAATTTCTTCATCTTTTAATGAAATACCCTTGAAATTATGTCATGAAGATTGAAAGACCGCTGACCAGATAATGGTTCCGCTTTAATTACGGGACATTCCGGGTTACACGTAAAAATGACAAATAAGTCTGGTCTCCCATAGCTTTGGACATAAATCATCGCATCTTGGGTTTTTAATGCAGATAACTTGGAGAACCTTTATTCTATGTATGTATTTAATATGGCAGTCTGTGGGGGAGTCTATGTTCAGCAGTGGACTCAAATAGGCTGAAATGATGATGATGATGATGATGTAATTCAATCTTTCTGGTATCATTTTTGCCATCATATTGACAATGTATTGAATAAAAACCGGCCAAGTGCGAGTCGTAGTCCCACACGAAGGGTTCCGTACCATTCCATTTGGTAGTAATTTCACTGTGGTAGGGTCCACGCAACAGTGTTCACTGTTGCACGAATGGGCATGTCCGTCCGGGTAAGTACCACGACCTCACAGAATACCGGCGTAAAGTAGAAGTGTTATACATACTTCTGCCTTTCGTCTGGTGAGAGAGGTAGCCGGGGCCCACTTTATTTAAACAAACGCATTTGAAACACCTGTAGGGTTGCAAATGCGTTGCCCTACAGGGCAACAGTTATCAGTTAGCATCAGGTGAACCGCCAGCTCGTTTGCTACTTTGTCACATAAAAAAAATCAAATTTAAATATCTTTATTCAATATAGAAGTATTACACTTACTTATTGTCAAAAAACACTACTACTATCAACATTATCTATAAAAACGGCAAAAAAATCATGTCTGTTTTATGGGAGCCCCACTTATTTATATTTTTTTTATTTTTTTCGTATTTGTTGTTATAGCGGCAACAGAAATACATCGTTTGTGAAATTCACAACTGTCTATGTTCTAACTATGTATGGTTCATAAGATACAGCCTGGTGAAATATGGACAGACAGACTGACAGACAGCGGAGTCTTAGTAATAGGGTGCCGTTTTACCCTTTGGGTACGGAACCCTAATAAATCACTGTAATAATGCAATGGATTATTAAAACAGGTAGCTAACCATCAACCTAAATGCATTAAATTGCATGCATGTCACAGTTTTGTTACGCACTGTACCTTACCGAGGAATAGTCAAATAATAACCGTCTTCTTCCATTACGACGATTAAGGGATATTGTAGTGGATCAAGCAATCGGTGTAACTCAGAGACCCTTTTAAGATGGCCGTGTCTACCGTGCAGCGCTATATCTCTGGGGCCTTTTTAGGGTTCAGTACCCAAAGGGTAAAATGGGACCCTATTACTAAGACTCTGCTGTCTGTCTGTCCCTCTGTCAACAGGCTGTATCTCATGAACCGTGATAGTTACACAGTTGAAATTTGATCTGGGTGTTGGTTTCCTAAGAAGGTTTAACGTCAGGCAGGCGGCTAGTTGTAAAAATATGGCCAAAACCGCTCAAAACATGATTCATGTTCTTCCGACCCCACCTAGGTGGGATAGGGGCAGGAAGATGTTGATGACTTGTATACTTGTCCCTCTATTTTAAAAGTTCGCGTCAAACGAAGTCATTTGAAAGAGGCTATTGTACTTTCGGATGTTGGTTAAAAATGTCCAGATGGTGAATGATTATTTATCAAATGATTTTCTATTGGCTGTGGCGGCTCCTTAATATTGGGGAGACTAACTTTTCCAGAAGCACAACACACACCATTTATTTCATCGACCCATTTTTAGGCAGAACACTGAGCAGATCTTATTCATCGCTTCGAATTGGCGGGAAGACTGTTGAGCATAATGCAAAGAAGCTGATCTGTTACTGTGAGCTAAAACTCGATTACGACCTCTAGTCGTTGACATTTGTTGTCTTTCTCTCTAATCTTGTAGGCGTTGGGAACGCTCAGAGCTCGATTCCCTAGTGTGAATTTGTATATTAATATTATTTTGCTCTTCAAGCCACTGCAAACACTCTACTTGACTCTCTCCGACTTGTAAGTTTCCGGTAAAGATTCCTCATAACGACGTATTTTTGATGCCCTCGCTTGGGAAGAGAGTTTAGAAAAAGTTTCTAGAAAGATGAGATCCTGATCTCTGGGCATTTTAAAATGATGTTGAACAGGAATTACCAGTATAAATGTGATTGAAAAATTATAAGAACTACCAAGTCAGTCACTAAGCTGTTTGGATAGTTAAATTACAAAATACTAATATTTTTAAACTTGGAATATCTAAGGAATGGAATGTCCGAATTGAATAATTCAAAAAGTTATATAAAGATATTGAAACTGTCTTAAATATGAAGTAATTTATTATTTTAAGGATTAAGACCAAGATACAAATAAACAGCCTTTTCTAGCGGCGACATTTCAATCAAAATTTTAAAATAAAAGAACACTTATTGTGGCATAACTATAATAGTTAGACATATGCTGTCGCGACACTTTTTGTAAATAATGATGTGTTCTACAAAGTCGCAGTACATTATTTTATTCTATCATCAATAGTTTTCGCAGCGCACGCGATGGAAAGAATATTTTAGGTAATTTTTGTACACCTTGAGTAACATTATTGGAGTTTTAATAAGGATCCCTAAGTTTTTTGAAAATATAATATAGCCTATATTAAGCAGGGATAATGTAGCTCCCCAACAGTGAAAGAATTTTTCAAATCGGTTCAGTAGTTTCGGAGCCTATTCAATACATACAAACAATCAAATCTTTCCTCTTTATAATATAGACAAGATTGTTATTTGGTAGGTACACGAAAAGCAAAAAGTAACATGCACATTACAAGAAAGTTGAAAATAAAAAGAAAGGAAGTCAAAATTATGCATACGCAACATGCTAATTTATCATTAAAATGTTTGATCCTCAATTTACACTAGCTAAAAATATAAAATCGCCCAAGTGCGAGTTGTACTCACGCACGAAGGGTTCCGTACCATTATCTATAAAAACGGCAAAAAAAAATCATGTCTGGTGGATGGGAGAGAGAGAGAGAGAGATCATGGATCTACTTAAATATTTTATTCTGTTTTTTAGTATTTGTTGTTATAGCGGCAACCGAAACACAATATCTGTGAAAATTTCAACTGTCTAAATATCACGGTTCATGCGATACAGCCTGGTGATAGACGTTAGGTTAACCCTTGGGTACAGGGCCTTAAAAAGAAAATAACCACGCCACGAGGCTACGCAACAGTTTATGCCGGTGCTGGAATGTTGCTGACGTCACATACAAGACGACCAATCTCCGTGATTGGTCGTCGGAGCGTCTGGAGTGACGTGGTTCTTTTTCAAATTTTGTCACTTATAAATTGTTTTATAATACTTTAAATTTAATTGCATTGATTTCGAGGAGCTCTGCTTGGGTCGCAATCGACACAACCCTTAGATGGCAAGCGCGTTAGTTTACACTTTTTACCACCGCTGCTACGGCGTTTTATGTGAAAAGTTGCCAAACGAGTAGACGGTTCACCTGATGTTAAGTGAATAGCCATAGACATCTGCTACACCCGAGGGTTTGCAGATGCGTTGACAACCTTTTTGGAAATTGGGCTACCGGCTACCTCACTCACCAGACGAAACACGAAAGCATTTGTCATACTTCCACTTTACGCCGGTCTTCTGTGCTGTCGTGGTACCTACCCGGACGAGCCTGCCCAATTCGTGCAACAGCCGAGGCTGCTGCGTGGCTCGAGCCACCGTTGTGCGTGGCTCCACCACCGTTAAAATCATTAAAATAAAGGCTTTATCGCTTCGTCCTCAGGGTCCTCGTCGGATGAGGAGGAGGGGGTGCAGCCGCACGAGAAGGCGATAGCCGGCGGCCAGCCGAGCCCCCCCTACTGCGTGCGCAACGTGGAGCAGCACGCGTTCGGCAGGCGGGAGATAGAGATCGCCGAGCAGGAGATGCCGGGCATCATGGCTCTGAGGGCCCGTGCGAAGGAGGACAAGCCGCTGAAGGACGCCAAGGTACGGTAACCAGGCAATTCGCCTGATGTTGAGTGGGCTATTATTATTATTATCATTTATTTCAAGTTACTAAGACTCATATACATCCACATTGAAAATTACATTTTATCATATTAAAAAGAAAAAAAAAAGAAAGTAGCTATGAGGTCAATATATCCCTAATCTCTTCTTGTTTTATTGGCAGGCGATTCGCATGATGTTGAGTGGGCTGATATTGCGATTATTTATCACATTTTTCGAGTAGGAAAGGAATATAGTGTTTGGAAGAAAAAAAGTGTTCTTTAAAGTTTGTAGAAAAAATGGAATACGAAAAGATATTCGCAGCTGTGGGGCCATCGATTTCACGTCCCCCGAATTCGCGCATTACAAACTAAGGGGCAGGCCCCTGCTGCAAAAGAAAGTATGAATATTCAGTAAGGTCCATTCGAACAACGAAGTGCAGGTTCAAGGTATATTTCGTTTTCAACAGAATGAACGACTATGGTCAGCAGCGATGGACTTGACAGACAAGAAAGTATACGCGACATCTCTCACAATAGGCGATATTGCCGGCCTCTTTTTTATAATTATTAAACTTGCATTGGCTAAGCCATTGGCCATAAGTAAAGCTATCCTTACTTCATTACTAATATTATAAACGAGAAAGTTTGTATGTATGGATGGATGTTTGTTACCCTTTCACACAAATATTACTGAATGGATTTTAATGAAACAAGGAATTTAAAATAATATAGCTTATACATCAGAATAAAACATAGGCTATAATTTATATACATATTTTCATGTATATCTGCCTTTCTGTCTCAATGTTACTCCTTCAGCCTATTCTACGCAGACGTAGTCGCGGCCGGCAGCTAGTTATAACATAGAATTGGGTGTTCGTTCTCAAAGCCTCAACATTCTCACATAAAAAAAAAGAAAAAAGATAACTGCACAAACAGGCATCTGTCTAAAAACAAGCTCCACGTAACACATACCAATACTCAAAGCCTCAATAAAAAAACTAAATTCTCACATAAAAAAAAAGAAAAAAGATGAACGGTTCATAGCTCATCACGAACGGTTCATATCATCACGCTGCCGACAGATAGTGGGGTGCACGCACATAAACGCGCAGACCGCCGTCCTGATCGAGACGCTGGCCGCCCTCGGCGCGACAGTACGCTGGGCGGCCTGCAACATCTACAGCACCCAGAACGAGGTGGCGGCCGCCTTGGCGCACGCTGGTAAGCACCCGGAGACCTGGGCACCCGTGGCCACGAGTCTGTTCCCTCTTATGCTCGGTTCCTATATTCAACGAACGGCCATTAGTTACATAGTCATTATGGAGTATCACAATGAATACTCATGCTTCTTATCCGATACTATTCACTATGCTCTTTATGATGTTGTTACAACGAGTCGTTATGAAAGATAAAAGTTATGTAACTAACGGCCGTTCGTCGAATATAGGAACCGGGCGTTAGTCGTACCAGTTGTATCAACCGTATCGTGTTTGTATTTATGCACTTTGTCGGTGCTTGCCGTCACTATTTTAAATTTCATCGTATAATAGAAATAAGTATCATCATCAAGTTCTAAAGGTCCCCACTGTGGGGGCACGGCCTACCCATTAAGTGTGTAAGCTAACGCTGAAAATCTCCAATTATTCACGTTACGGTAAAACTGCAAAACTAGTTCAATTAATGGCAGCCCCCAACGGATATTATTAAGTTTATAGGTAGTTGAATATGTTATTCCCGCATCTACAATTATCGAGAAACAAATAGGTAGGTACGTAGGGAAATGGTATGAAAACGATACTCTATTGTTAAAATATATGACAGACTCTGCGAGAGATCAGCTCTACTTATGAAATCTAATTACGGTTATTATATTATTATTAATACATTTATTTTTTAAGTCGGGGTATTTTTTTAAATTATTTTACCCTTTTTAAAATAAATTTAAACCGTCGTGGGTTTTTTCAAAAATTCTAATTTTGCTTTTTTCTTGAATTTTGTACATCATTAGAGGCTGATACGTGGCTCAAGCACAGTGAAAAAAATAGTATACTCCTCTCTTTCTATCACTCTCTCTTTCTCTTTCCAACGCACAACTTATTGGTGCTGATCAGATCTCTCATACATGATGCAATAGGTATAAATTGTAGGCTTGTGGTATAAATTGACGTGCCACGGATATCTGATGGCTTACTTGCCGCCAAATAAAGCGCGTAAGCCCGTGACCTGAATTCAAACCTGGTGTTGGCAAATTGCACGGCTAAATTGCACTAACAGTATTTATTTACCAGGTCGCTGGTGATGTTAGAAACTTCTAGAAAACATAAAAAATCGTATATATTCACATCTAATGCCTACTGTACAGATGAGCTCTCTACCCAGTAGTCGAAAAAATATAAATGTAGGCAAGTGTAGGAAGTTTGATGGGTGGTGATCACGAATGCCTCTTTAAATATAAGATGTATGTGAACTTGAAAAATGTATATTTATCACGTGTTTAATTATTCTTTTAGTTCAAGATCCAGATTCAAAAACGTCATGTTTGTATCTTTTCCTTTAACATAGTTCAAAAAATTCATAATTAAAATTATTTTATTCAAATTTGCGTGTTATATCAAATGAATTTTACATAAAATTAATCTAATATATAAAATTCTCGTGTGCAGCATCTATTTTTCATCCCCCTAAATGTTAAGGTTGGTCTTCCCAAATATATCCTACAAATTCCTTAGAAATAATTTATACGGCAAGACAACGTTTGCCGGGTAAGCTAGTATTATATAAGTTCGTAAGGTACCACAGTGTACATTTAAAAGTTCGCAAACAGTTCTTGAGTTGTTCCAACTGCAAACAATATGGTAGCCCCTCTACCGAGACAACACAACGTCATCTACCGTAGTGTAATCTTTTAAAAGTATTAGCCAATGCTTTCCAATGCGTGCTACTCTCGATCGGCCGAATTTCCTGCAAGCGTACCCTGGTACCAACGCACCAATGTAGCGTCAACTTCAAGGCTTCGCGGTATTCGCGTGGCGCGGCGAGAGTGAGGAGGCGTTCTGGTGGTGCATAGACCAGTGCTGCACCCCCACGTCGTCTTGGCAGCCGAACATGATCCTGGACGATGGCGGTGACGCGACCCACCTGATGCTGAAGAAGCACGCGGCCGCCTTCAAGCAGATCAAGGGTGAGGGACTCCCAAGGATCTGTTCTTTCCCCATGTTGTTTGCACCTTGTGCATTTTAGATGTCTCCTGGTTACGATATGATGTGAATGTGTGTTCTGAATAAGTGTGCTTACCTCTTGTATAGGAGAAGCAAGATAGGCTAGTAGCTAATGAAAAGGAAGCTCATCCCCATCCTAACACTCTTGAAGGAAATCTAGCACCGGATCTCAATTTTATACCTAGCCATGGGATATTCCAATACAGTAAAAATAATATTGGACGTATTGACGACTTCTTGACTACTTCTTGACTTACAAATCATGGAAACAGACACTGTTAATACAGTGGTAGGTGATTTATTACATCATGGTAACAAATACAGACACTGCTAATACAGTGGTAGCTGATAAACGGTGCTCGGCTATGGAGAAGAAAACTGACCGCAACTTGAGTTAAGCTTTTGTGCGTGTCTCTTGAGTATATATCCCAAATCAATCACCAAAATCATCTTCATCAGCACACGGATCCACTGTTGAATGAAGGTTTCCGCCTAGAACACTAACATTGGATTGCAATTACTACCTCTCTAGTTTTTTGTGGAGAAAAGGTGCAAACGAGCAGGAGGCTCACGTAATGGTAAGTAATTACCGCCGCCCATGAACACCGGCTACACCCGAGGGCTTCTCATTCTCTTTCCACCTGTAAGCCAAGGGTCTGACCTGGACCGGCTTACCATCTCTTCTCTTCTCTTCTCCTCTGAAGGTCTGTACCGACCGCTTCCGCAGGCATAGTGGAGGAGAGCGTGACGGGCGTCCACCGTCTGTACCAGCTCAGCAAGGCGGGCAAGCTCTGCGTTCCCGCGATGAACGTTAACGACTCCGTCACTAAGACCAAATTCGACAACCTGTACTCCTGTCGGTGGGTATTTGTCTGGACCGCAGCAAGCTCTTTGTACTACCATAGTGAAAACATCCGGGTACCTTTCAATCATTCTTCTGCGGCACAGCGTGTAATATCGAGCGATCGTCCAAATAACAAGATGTGGATGACTCGGTGCGTGCAGCCAAGGCTTCGGCGCCGGGGGTCTTGGGTTCGATTCCCACACAGCACAAGTGTTTGTGTTTTTTCAAGCACTCGTGTCTTTAAAAACTGTTTTCTGTTTCTCCTGGTTGGGTTACCTTAGTCAAGGCGTTTGTTTTTGTTTAATTGTAATTTACAAAGTCAACTAAAGTCTTCTAACAAAGTCTACTAAAATTTATAATTAAAAAACTCATCCTGCATATTGACTAAGCCCACTAAAAGGAAGGGCAAGATGTTAATATAAACAACGACCATTTATTGACTAAGCCCACTAGGAAAAGCCCAGCATTGGGAAAGAATCTAATATACGCTAACAATGATCATTTAAGCGGATGGGTTCGGTGGTTAAAGACAGATTTTAATCATGATTGATAAATATTTCATCGATGTTGTAGATCGACACGATATTGGAGATCTCCGAATCGATAACGTCAAAGAATACAGCGATCGATTTTCGTAAATTATATTTTCGTGTTCGATCTCTGATAACAGTTATCGTGTCGCCATCTTGACTAGATTTTTCCCGATTACCAGTTCTTTATTCAAAGTTCTCAACTTTTTGTTTTGTTGACACTATCACCGGTTTCCTCAATCTCAATGAATGTTTGCTTACCATGTGCTCCCATAAAAGAATAGAGGATGGACCGATATATTGGGACTTATATGAGGTCGTTTTTCACGTGTCCTTACAAGGAGGGTGGGTACAATAAGTACGGCATAGCGGAGAGAAAGCTGACCTGTTTTGTTGTGTTCTGAGTGAATCACGAGATTTGCAATGTTAACTATCTATTACGATAATAGATGTTTTTAGTTTAAAGGAAATATATATATATATTTATTAAATTTAATGCTACTTCAAGCGGATTAGAATATTTTTTTCCTGTAATGCTAGACTAAATGTGTTAAATAAATAAATAAATAAAAGTTTAAAATAGCGGTCGTCGTGGTTAAAGGAAGGATAAGAAGTAGTTAAATGAACCGATTTCTAAGGTTAAAGGATTTGAAAAAGGTAGAAGAACCGATTGTCATGGTACTTAACGAGGAATTAGATGAGTCGGTTACCAACTTTACAGGTAGGGGAAGTGAATTCTGATTAGTGAACCGGTTGCCATGGTTACAGGGAGAGCATAATAGACGCCCTGAAACGCAGTACCGGTCTGATGTTCGGCGGGAAAGTTAAATATAGCTGTTGTCATGATTACAGAGAGGGTATGAAGATGCTAAAATCAAATGGGTCCGGTTGCCTAGATTATAGTAAGTGAATCGTAGGTTCCTGGTTAGTTAACCGGTTGCCATGGTTACACTAATAACGCCCTGAAACGCAGTACCGGTCTGATGTTCGGCGGGAAAGTTAAATATAGCTGTTGTCATGGTTACAGAGAGGGTATGAAGATGCTAAAATCAAATGGGTCCGGTTGCCTAGATTATAGGTAGGGGTAAGTGAATCGTAGGTTCCTGGTTAGTGAACCGGTTGCCATGGTTACAGGGAGAGCATAATAGACGCCCTGAAACGCAGTACCGGTCTGATGTTCGGCGGGAAAGTTAAATATAGCTGTTGTCATGGTTACAGAGAGGGTATGAAGATGCTAAAATCAAATGGGACGGTTGCCTAGATTATAGGTAGGGGTAAGTGAATCGTAGGTTCCTGGTTAGTGAACCGGTTGCCATGGTTACAGGGAGAGCATAATAGACGCGCTGAAACGCAGCACTGACCTAATGTTCGGCGGGAAACAATCCGTCGTTTGCGGATACGGGGAGGTGGGGAAGGGTTGCTGCCAAGCGCTAAAGGCTCTGGGCTGCGTGGTGAGTTTTATCTATCTATCGATCTTATATCTATCTATCTATCTATCTATCTATCTATCTATCTATCTATCTATCTATCTATCTATCTATTTGCCATTAAACGAGGTACAATTTATGATGGTTCAATTAAAATTATTTTTTACACAATGTTTTTAGTTCCACTTGTATAGCCACTTACAAATAGCATGCAAATATAAATTAGTCAATATTACAATAATTTATATGTGATTAAGTCATTTCATTAAAAATTCAAGTTTCATTTTAATTTCATTAAAATTTCAAATTAAGTTCATTCATTAAGTTTAAATTTATATAATAATACTCAAATATAACAATAATTAAATAAATTGTACTTATGTCAAATATAATTAATAAATTTTTATAAATATTTAGCTTATTTAACAATATAAAAATAATTATTGATGAATTGCATCGAATTTCCTCCCCTATTTAATGTGGTAAGGTCAGTCATCATTCTCCTGCCCCTATCCCACCTTTTTTTTCTCCTAATAATTTAAAAATCTCGATATCTATCTCCACTTTAGACAATTTATGTATTAGACTCTCACATTTAAAGTTTAGCTGTGCTATCTTGAAAACTAGACATGACATTTAAGTGATAACATAAGTTAATACGATTAATGAATTTGTTCACAAATTAATGAGCGTGTCTCAGTTATCTTTAACCACACACTGTCACTTAAGTGATAACATAATTGACAATAATGAAATAACATAATCTGTTCGTAAAAACTCAATTCGCATTCAACGTAATATTGTAAGTGTTAAGCACTAAAATAGATATAAATATTCAATTAACGCAATTGTATTGAATTTCACGAAAGATTTTATGCAATCTTTGTGTCTAGTATAGCGATGTATCAGCGATGACCTCTCGAAATAGTCGATTTTAAACACGCGAGATGACTTAACACTTCTTCTTTTCATTTTGTATTCATCATTTACTTATTTGTCACACCGCTTGCGTCACCAAGATTTTCATACTTTCATACTATCATAAAACGCGTCGCCACGCCAATAGTAGATGTGACCCGCCGCAATAGATGTTTCTCATTAAAAAAGTAGTCTTTTTAACCGACTTCAAAAGAAGGAGGTTCTCAATTCGACTGTAATTTTTTTTGTTACCTCAGAACTTTTGTTCAGACTCTTTTTTTACAGATTCTTTTTTTATATTAATTTCATTGGTATTGGATCTCGGGCTCCAGAGATTATTAGGGAACTCCTGAAAATCGACTATAAAATGAGTACGAAGCGAGATATTTGAAGTGGGTTTTGTTCTTCGTTAGTAAAAAAATGGTTATCTACATTGTGCAAGTTACCCGTTTGATGTGCGCAGGTGTACGTGACAGAAATCGATCCGATCTGCGCTCTCCAAGCGGCCATGGACGGTTTCAGAGTGGTCAAACTCACCGAGGTGATTATGTTGTTGGTAAAACCGTGCTGCGGTAAATGTTGTAACTTTGGTGGGGCCACGCGACAGTCTGTTGCACGAATGGGCAGGTCCCGGGAAGTACCACGGCATCACAGGAGACCGGCGTGAGGTGAGTGGTGTAACCGGGGCCCACTTATTAAAAGGTGGCAACGGCTCTGCAACCCTACGGGTGTTGCAAACGTCCATGGGCGGTTGTTATAATTTAATCAGGAAAATCGCCAGCTCGTTTGCCAAATTCTCACATAAAAGAAATCATCGTTACTTGCAGTTAGGGCTGCCAACCGTTTTTGAGAAAAATAAAGTATCACATATATCGAGTAGAGAAAAAATTAAGTATAAAGAAGAAAAATAAAGTATCTTTCGAAAAGTTATTTATTTCTCCTCTTGAACATATACTTTTGGTACGCTTCTAGCCCACACAGTTCTTCACTCACTGTTTTTCACTATACTCGTATCTATCTACATTCCCAATTAAAATAAAAAATAACTTTTTTTTATAAAAATGACAATCCCATATTGTCATTTATGCTTATTAGCACAAATATATCAAATGATAAATTGATAAATATATATTCTCTTGGGATGAAATGAAAAAGGTTCTCGGTCGAAAGTGTTCTGTTCCAACTTAGAGGTATCGAAAAAAATTCAGTAATTATCCTCATAGGTACATACAAAGATTGTAAATAGAGCATTTTAACATACTTTATTTGTATGCAAAAGTATAAAGTATATTTGCCAAAAATAAAGTAGAATAAGTAGACAAAAAAAGCGGCTCAGCGTCGTACTTCGTGGCAGTCTATGGGGGAGGCCTATGACCTGGACTTAAACAGGCTGATTTGACGACGATGATGAAAGTACGATACGTTATTATAAAGTATGGTTGGCAACCCTAGCTGCAGTTGGCTCGAGCTCAGCATCATTCGATACATTCACATTCACGGCGACGACCTCCGCAGGTGATAAGGCAGGTGGACATAGTGATAACGGCCACCGGCAACAAGGGCGTGGTCACGCGCGAGCACATGGAGCGCATGAAGAACGGCTGCGTGGTGTGCAACATGGGCCACAGCAACACCGAGGTGGACGTGCACGCGCTGCGCACGCCCGACCTGCTCTGGGAGCGGGTGCGGAGCCAGGTGAGGCGCGACGCGACGCGACGCGACGCGACGCGACGCGACGCGATGTGACGCGACGCGACGCGACGCGACGCGATGTGACGCGACGCGATGCGACGCGACGCGATGTGACGCGACGCGATGCGACGCGACGCGTCGCGTGAATTAAACACGTCGTTATTAACCGACTTACGACGTTTTCCATGTAGCCGTGTGTCGTAACACACGACTACACGAAAAACGGAGGAGGTTCTCAATTCGACGTTATTTTTTTTTTATGTTTGCTACCTCAGACCTGATTGACTCAGACCGAGTTCACTGATTTTGATGATTTTAAAAGGTCTCGCTTCCCATGTGGTCCCATATTGATTTCATTGGTATTGAATCTTGGGCCCCGGAGATTATTAGCGAACGCCTGAAAATCAATTAGAAAATGAATACGGAGCGAGATATTTGAAGTCCGTTTTGTTTTTCGTTAGAAAATGGCCTTGTTGAAGACACACTTATTGCGGCGCGTTTGGAAAGCGACCCGACACTTCGTGGCGTGGCCCGATGTTGTTTAATAGTATAGATGACGCATGTTCATACTGCGCGGCGTTTGGAAATTGTTCTGCTTGAGATATACAAGTGAATGTGACAGATGATATGGAACGTACGATACGGAAAGAGATAGCAGCCTATAGAGTTGCAATCTAATTACACCAATCGGCGTAATTTCAGTGCCTCAGTTGCGATGCGCTAGTGTCATATCTAACTCGTATTTGTATATAATATCGTTGACGTGGCCCGAGTGACGTCACGACTTTTTGGACATACACTTATTGTGACGCGTTTGGAAAGCGACGCGACGCGACGTGACGTGACGTGTCACGTGTTGTGACACGACATTTGGAAGACACATTACACTTGTGGCGCGTTCGGGGACGGTGAGAGTGAATTTTCACGGTGCGCGTCACCTAAAAGTGACCGCAACTTCATGGTTACCATGGCAGCCGATAACAACTTTTTTGAAATCTTTATATACATAGTATAAGACATAGTCGCTCCCTATGTTTGTACGCTAGATCTTTTAAACTACGCAACGAATTTTAACGCGGTTTTCAGTAATAGATCGAGTGAATCAAGCATATTCAGATGAACGTACGCTTTTTCTACTGTAGCGTCATTCTGGAGAGATTTGAAACACGAAGACACTTTTGTAGCTGTTCCCCAAAATCGGACAGTGCTCCTTACCTTTAACCTGCATACGTTACATTACGAAGTGTGCACAAAAAAAGTAACAGCCTATAAATGTCCCACTGCTAGGCAAAGGCCTCCTCTACAAAGGAAGCCTTTGCAGACCAGTAGATTTGAGTTAAAAGGGCTGTTCATGTTACTGGCAATGCGTTATGTTGTATCTGTAAACTGTGTTGTTCTGGTAGTAGCACATGCTGTGACGTGTTCGTTAGCCGTAATGACTTCATTTTTTGCATTTAACACATGATTTTCGGAATTAATTAGGGCTTGTTCATACTTTATGCTGACGGCTGTTCATATAACAAGGTTTATATCTGAAAATTTGTAAATAGATGAGAATCTAAATAAATCTTATTGTTCGTTATTATTTCGGCCAAAGTTTCAATACCCCTGGTTTCATATCCCAGGGGTATAAGAGCTTCGGTTCATTTTTATTTTGTCACGACCAGATGTTATGAATGATCGGTTTTTTCTTGTTTGCAGCCCACCGTAAGTCCACTGCTGAACTTGGGCCTCCACCAAAAGGTGGGTAGATGTGGTAGTTGCAAGGCTTGACTATATGTGCGTTGTTGTTAGCCGAGTACTTATTTCTCCAGTAGTTTAACCCCCTCCTTTGTCGTTAGTTCACTGGACGCGTCTCTCGATAAGAATTTGATGTTACGAGCTCATGTGAGTATTTATTTCCCATACACATATTCGGACACTTGGTAGCTTTAAGGTGGTCTTCGTTCAGCAGTGGACTTTTAGTGGCCGAAATTGTGATGCTTATTTATGTGTAGAACGATCATGAATCTCAAAATCATTATTACTCACGATAAAGTGGTGACAGGATTGTAAAGTAACTAGTAAGTAAAGTAAGCGACACAGGTTCACCTGGTGTTAAAATGTAATTAAGTGATGTTAAATTGTAATTAAGTGCCCCCCCCCACGCTCTCTACCTCACTCATCACCAGAAGAAACGCAGCAGTGTAAAACTTCGTCTTCTGTTAGGTCGTAGTATTTGTCTTATGCACATCGAAGGTCGCGTTGCCCTATCACAGATAAATGTACCTATAGTGAAATTTATTCGTTTTTCAATAAAAGTTTTGACGATACGATGCGTGACGTCACGGAGACCATTTCCTAGGTTTCAAGACTTATTCGACTGCTCCGCCCCCAATTGCAGGTGGACCACATAATATGGCCGAACGGAAAGCGCATCGTGCTCCTGGCGGAGGGCCGGCTGGCGAACCTGTGCTGTTCTTCGCTGCCATCGTTTGTGGTCTCCGTGACGGCGGCAACTCAGGCGCTCGCGCTCATCGAGCTGTACAACGCGCCGCAGCACAGGTACAAGGTGAGTGGCGGACGATCTGTGCAGCGGCTTCTGTGATTGGCCGATTTGGACGGCAGACGAGTGTGATTGGCGGATCGGTTTGCATGATTAGTTGAGCGGTTGCTGTCATTGGTTGTTTGGTGGGTATGATTGGTCCTGTCAGTACTTTAGAGCAGTGGTGGGCGAAGTGATTGGAGGGTTTGGTGGGAATGGTGGAGTGGTTGGTGGGTTAAGTATAGCGAATGGCGCGATTGGAGTGTTTGGGTAAGGTATTGGTGTAATTATACTTGAATACATTTATTGAAAACTGCATATTTTTGGTTTTGGTATTGGCCAGCTGGTGGTTAATTTCGTCATAACTGTTGTGATTTGCAGATCAATCGGCGAATATTTGGTCAAACTGCCTCATAATTTAAGGCTGTCTTGTAGATGTTTTAAATTTGAATTTTAACTGTGGTAGGGTCACGCAACAGTTCTAGCTGTTGAACGAATGGGAAGGTTCGTCCTGGTTTGTACCACGAACTTAAAGAAGAAAGGCGTGAAGCAGAAGTGTCGCACTTCTGCGTTTCGTCTGGTCAGCGAGGCGGCCGGAGCCCAATTTTTTAAACTGTGCCGACGCGTCTGCAACCTTACCGGTGTTGCTAATATCCAGAGGCGGCGGTTATCGTTAACATCAGGTGAACCGTCAGCTCGTTTGCCATCATAAAAAAAATCAGCGATCCGATGTGAATGCTCAGGCCGACGTATACCTGCTACCTAAGAAAATGGACGAGTACGTCGCCAGCCTGCACCTGCCCACCTTCGACGCTCACCTCACCGAGCTGACGGACGAGCAGGCGAAGTACCTCGGCCTCAACAAGGTGGGCCCCTTCAAGCCCAACTACTACAGGTACTAGCGGGGGCGCCGCCGCGAAGGCACACACCAGTTCCTCATAGACGAGTCGGATTTATACGTGAATCTAACTGCGTGACCATTTCGTCGATCAACGGCCGGTTTCAACGTCCTCTGTCTATAGATAGGTTTGGTCACCCAAAGCAAGTCAAGTCATTTATTCATCGTAGTCCTTACTAATATTATAAAGGCGAAAGTTTGTATGAATGGATGGTAGGTATCCTCTTAATTTATCATTTCTTTCCCTCAAAATATTATACAGTACTACTTGTTTTTTACACACAGCTTGGGAGCGATCATCTCATCCCCAGAGGCTATTATCGTTAATGTATTCGTTTACATTATAAACTATTTGAAAAGTTTTTCTTTAGTAAATTTCTTAAGCCTGTTAATAGACAGGATTTTGTTATTAACTTGATGTTTGACATTAACTGGGATTTTGTTGTAGAAGCGTATACCCCGACCCATGAACGAGTTACTTACTCTATGCAGTCTAGTAACAGTACTACTAGCGATAGGTATTTGACTCCATAACACTAACGTTTACGGTGGCAGGGCTACGCAGCAGCCTCGGCTGTTGCACGAATGGGCAGGCCCGTCCGGGTAAGTACCACGACCTCGCAGAAGATCAGCGTAAAGTGGAAGTATGACAAATACTTTCGCGTTTCGTCTGGTGAGTGAGGTAGCCGGAGCCCAATTTTCAAAGGTTGTCAACGCATCTGTAACCCTCTGGTGTAGCAGATGCCCATGGGCGGTGGTATTCACTCACCATCAGGTCAACCGTGTGCTCGTTTGGCAACTTACGATATATATAAAAACAACGTCAAAGTTCTATCTCCGGTAACCAAATCTATCTGCAGGTACAATATTGAAAACGGCCGTCAAAGTATGTAAATGTGAATTGATTTTGTATCGCATCAAATTGTAGTTTTTATCGATTTTATTGCTGCATCGGTAATGCATCGGTATTTATTTCGAAGTGAGTCGGCAATCGATTTTCGTTTGGAATCGAGACTGCCGATTGTAGGACACGTCACTAGTCATTTCAGATATCAATGACGTTCGCTGCTTTCGTTCGTTGCCTTTATTTATGTCCATTCAATATTATTAAGATAAGTAATGCTATTGCAGCTGCAGTGTTTCATATTTCCTTTTTAATATTCTTCTTTCAACAAGCTTATTTATTTCGTCTTTGATATTTTAAAAGAACTAATTGACTTTTATCTTCACGTTGTAATAAAACCTGGGGTTGCGATATTTAAATCGACCAGATAATGTACTAAAGTGAGTTTACAGCTCTTTGATAGCAAAGTACAAATTATTACCAAGTATTTATTTTGCTAATTGATTTTTGGATTATTTATTTAATTAAATTAGTGTGTTTACATTTATATGAATGATAACGAACATCGGCATATTGGCTCGGTTGACAGCACATTATACTATAGTGACTAATTTCACCAATAGTGAGATAATGAAGTCGTTTTTCTAATTCGATTTACAGTTGATGCGCTTTACAGTCGATTAAATTTCAAAAAATCGATAGCCTGAGTCCACCACTAGTTAAAATCTCACGGCTTTCGCCACTATGTATATTCTTTTGATAGATTGCTTATTCGAAATTCATTTAGAGAAACGTCTTATTTCAATAAACTATATGGCGCGATTATATGTTCAGTTTCCATCAAATATATTAATGCCAAAAACATACCTAATATTTTTTATAGGCGTGGCCTTATGTTTTGTTATGTTTTGAATATATTTCTAATTTTTTTGGCGGCTTTTCACGTTTCTTTTGAATTCTTTAATTTCTTCATTTGTTTTCGAGAATTTGAGACAAAGAAAATAATTAAGATTGAAATGCATATTTAGAAAAATATTAATCTGAAAAGCTATCACTCAAATCACTATCATAAAAGAACTTGTCTCGGAAGTGAGTCTAACGGAGATTTTTTTTAATTTCATTATAAAACAAAGCTAAGGTAAGAACATGAAAATTTTGACATCGTCCTAATCTATATTGGAAAAGAAAGCTGTGTGTATATGTATTTCTTTGTGTGTTTGTGTGCGTGTGTGAGTGTTTTAGTGTAGTTTTGCCTGCGTCAACGAGTGTAATGCTTCGATTAAGATACCGAAACGTAAATTTTTCGAAGATCTAGACTTTTCACTACAATAGATCTAGGTCGCAGCGGCCGTTGGGACTACCCAATCCCTTACACAAAATACAAAAAATGGTCTGATATCCCTCTTCCTTAACAACAAAACTAAAGACGTAAACTACTTCTCTTTCGTTAAAACGATCAAAGTTTATAAATGTATACTAAACAAGTTTTAACTGACGTTTTCACACGTAAAACCTTGCCGCCCAAATGTGTTTTTATTGTGTTAGCATTATGTTCAAAGATAAGGAAGGAGTGATGTTTTGAATAATAAATTATTCAAAAACAATAAAATGTATAACCACAGAGCTGCTACAGATTTATGCAGGATTAGAAATATCAGTGATTTGTAGTTGTTAAATAAAAAAAATATCATAAAAATTATATATTTATTTTATATATGCCGATACTTTCGTTTGTCATTGTGTCAGTGTCACAGCAAACGTTTTGATCGAACACACAATTTAAATGTACTTTTAAGCTTAATGGGACGGTGAATATAAATACATTAATGTATATATGAGATTATATTTGTTTCGATTTAAGAGTATAAATTTAATTATCCGTTTTTAAAAAATATTTCCGGAGAATTTTACACAGTGTTGTCAAAAATTACCATGTGCGCTGACGCATCTTTCATCACTTTTTACTGCTTTATAATTGAAGCTCAACAATGGATTGGTCTTTACATCGTCCAAACGTTAAACAACATAGCAGTTTGGAATAGAGACTATCAATTTATTAAGTCACAAAATATATCCAAAAGTATGCGACCCAATGAATCTTTGTGGTCAAAGTTGCGCTATACGACTACTGTTTGTAATAAGTACATGTAATATACAAGCCTTTTCTTTTGCGATTTCATTAGCAAAAGTACAGTCACGCCGAAAGGGCTAAGACCTATGACTAGAGACTATAGACTAAGACTAATGAAAATTCTCAATCCAAACAAAAACCTCAATTTAATCGTGTAGTTTGTCGTAGTACAATTTAACGTGGTTTCCTCATGGTTCGTAACTAGATCCGATAATTTTCATCATTCGTTGGTCTACCCACGAGCCAGAAGGTTCTGCAGATTAAAAAAGAGGGCTTACCTGATATTGTTTAATTTGGCTCATTTCAAATAAGCGTTATGAAGATCTTTTAAGAATAACAACCTGAATTGCAGAATGTAAATATATAGTGCTCTCTTGAGTTACAAATGTCTAGAATAATTAGGTTATCTGTCAGGACGTGTTGTTCTAATACATATAGCTAGATCTAAATTGGGTGATTTTGTTACACAATGTTTATTTTGTTACGAATTATTTAAAAACTGGAGAATAAATTAAACGATCATTAAGATGATTAACAAGAATATAAATTATTACATTGAAACAAAATAACAAGTATTGTTGACAAAGTAATAAGAAGCAAAATTGACTTATTTATGATAAATTTTTCTTATTTGTTTTGAGTGTTAAAGAGCTTCGTGGAAACAAAGTCCAATTAAAGAAATAAATGGATCGGAAATTATCATAACCAAAGAAAGTACAGTACTATTGAACAATGATTACAATATGTATCAGTTTTAAGGAGTTTTCGGTAACCAAAACTTTTCTAGTCTTCTTTAGAAATTAAAAAGATCATTGACGTTTGTGAAAATTTCAAATTTTAAATGCAAAAATAAACATTAACAGCCAAAAAGAATTATAGACTATGTTTACATATCGTTTTGATGATGAAAATATATATTTAACCATTTCTAGTTTTATTGTGTTTCTTTCATATTTCTAAAAAATAACAATTATAACCGAGATAAATGTACGATTTCATGATCTTGCCGATTACTATTGTATTTTACATTGTCATACACATAAAATAAATATATACATATACAGCAATGATACAAATCTTGCAATAGATAATTGACAACAAACCAAAAACTTTACTGGTGAACATGTTCCTGTATAAGTAACATTTATTTACCGTAAGAACTAATTCGTAAAGTGCTTGTCGTGTCTTAAAGTCGTAAATGAAAATGGTAAATTACATATTATAAACACGTGCAGGATTATTCCGTTGATTGGCGTTGCCATTTGCTTTGCCTTATTGATTTTTCAATGACAAATAATGACTTTCCCGCGCAAAGTTACCACAGCGTTTGTTGCGCAGAATGAAAAGCGCTTTATGCGCTAAATCAATATTGTTTGAGGTTACCAGTGCTATGTGAAATGTATTTAATGTTGAGTGTTTGTTTTTTTTTTATTATTTTGTCATGGTTAAATTAAATTATATGAGATAATGTAGTAAAATAGAAATGTTATCTTTTAACAATATACAAAACATTGCTAATCTAATGTGGGTTGAAATGATATACTTATATTTTTGGTCATTATCGTTTTTTTTATACGTTTACGACTTTCGGTTTGGAACTGTGAATGTATGCAATTAAATTCTTCTTCATTCCGATAGTATTTTGTTATATATCAAAGCAACATGTTTATAAGAGATTATTTATTTATGTAAATGTGTGTGCTGGTTTGTAAAGTTTGCGTAGTGTATAATGTATTGTGATTATTCTGTATGACACAAGGGAAGGATATAACCATTCGGTTGAGTATTAACTACACAGTATAGGCTATTGATTTAAAACGTTTATTTATATATTTTTAGTCATTTACAACTACAAAGTCTACAAAAATATTAAGAATTAAAATTACTTTGGATATATTTTTTATATTATTTTCTTTTTTCCCTTTTGATAATTTTGTTTATAATTATATCAAGAGAAGCGTGTACAGATTGGTGATTTTAATTTTGACGAGACAAGCGCCTGCCTCAGTATTCTTTGTCCCACCAA